GGCACCGAATTTGAAAATACCGTTGTGTCTGCTTTATGCGAGATTATGGGCATAAAGCACTTGTTCACGAAAGGGTATTGCCCTCGTGAAAACGGACCTAACTGAGCGTGTGAATGGCACAATCATTTCCATGCTGCGGAAGAAAACAGTGGTACCTACAGAATGGGACAAGATCTTGCCTACAGTGGTTTATGCATACAACGCATCACCACATTCCGCAACGGGCGAAAGCCCTCATTTTTTGGTTCTATGGCCACGATGCCCGTATTCCATCGGAGGTCATTCCAAGGGATCAGCTGTCGGCGTATATGATGGACTATGACCAATACAAAACAGAGTTTTAAGTGGATTGAAGCTTGCACGCGAGTGCATTATTGACCAAAGTGAGAAGTACAGAGCTAAGGCAAAACAGTATTACGATCGTCACTGGAAATCCGATAGAACGGTCAATTTCAACGTAGGAGATCGACTCTATGTTAAAGTACCCGGAGAAAAAGGGGCATCGCACATCCCAAAGTGACTGTTTCCTGGAGTGGTCCATATAGGGTAATCGCATCAACACCCAATTCAGCGACTGTAACTGAAATTGGGGTTAACAAAGAACCCATACAAGTCCCATTCGACCATCTGATCAAGGTGCCAGCGTCGATAGACGATACTCCTGTAATAAGCAGAAAGCGTAGAGGCGCTAAACGAGGAAGAAAAGGAAAGATGGCAGCAACTTTTGACGATGTATCACCGTATGTAGCAGAAGTTTACAGTTTTCTTTCTTTATTTTTTTTCTTTCTATTGTTCATGCTGCTTTAATTGTTAGTTTCAGCTCTCGACGTTCGGTTCGCACCGATATATCTACTATTGACTGTCGTTGTCCAGGAGTATTCGATGTCGGCATGCAGTCAACCGCGTGTCATACCGCAGTGAATGGTCGCAAATTGTGGAGAACCCACCATTACCATGAGTTGGTCTTCAATTCTTCGTTTGAATTGGCTAGGGCTGTCTCTATACTGCGTCAAACTCACGTTTTCGCCGAAGGGCGAGCTGCAACACTTGTTGACCACGATTACATTACATTGTCAGCTAGTTCACTAGGATTTGCAATGTCATTTTTCCGAGCAAATTGCCTTCATCTCGCTGCGTACCATCGTCGCAATCTCGCCACAGACGAAGCACTTGGGAATCTACCCACACCCTCCACGACATACGGAAGATCCGTTTAACCTAGCAGAGATGGTCGCAGAAGCGCAAGAAGTTCTCCTATAATAACCCATGGCACAAGTGGAATTATGGAGGCAGTTGCCCAAGTTGAGAACTCTAATAATCCTACCAGCAGGATTCCAGAATCATCTGGAGAACGTTTCCGGAGAAACCAAATTGCGTACTCCTACAAACATCCTAAGGATATTCAGGCTGACTGGCTGGCAGGCGAATGGTCTGCAGTAATATTATTCAGTGCCACTTATCATGCAGGAGTCGCCACCTGGGCGAGAGCATGGGAAATGATGCTAAAAGCAGTTGCCCGCGGAGCGGAACTGATATTAGTAGCTGGTCCGAAGGATGATTACGAATGGGGAAAAGGCGTAGATATGCTGCGAGACCTGGCAGAGGAAACCATCCAGCAGAGGAAGATTCTTGCACCGAGAATCAAGATTTTACTGCCGCGGAAAGCGGATACAAAAATGGCTGAACATCCGATTTTTTCAATTCGGAAGAGATAAAACGGCGAAAGAGCCAAGGTTCTATACGACAACTAGTGCTAAAAAGTTTTTCAATGCTACAAGACAGTTCTATATAGCTCATTTTTGCATATCGCCTTACATTAGGACGAGATTCCCTCATCAGGCTGGTATTATGTCATCTCGGCAAGCGGTCGACAACGAGTGGCAAAGGCAAGGTGAACATTATAATTCACGCAGTTATACAGTTGTGCGCTCGCAGTTTCCGAGGAACTACAATGGACCAATACGTAATATGCA